GTCGCCACACAGTCCTAATATTAGCATGGCGACTTAACACCATCGTTTTGTCATGATACAGTCCTAATATTAGCATGGCGACTTAACACCATCGTTTTGTCATGATACAGTCCCAATATTAGCATGACAACCTAACACCATCGTTTTGTCATGATACAGTTCCAATATTAGCATGGCGACCTAGCCCCATCGTTTTAACATGAGTAAGGTTTAATAATTTACTCCTACCTGAGCATTTTCACACCTCTGTTGATAACTTTCACCGTTCCGTCTTCGTTAAGTGTGTATTCTGACGTCACACACTTTAACCCCATTTCAAAAATAGCAAACGAACGCTCAATTTCGTACCACTTGCCTATGTACTGAAGAACAAGGTTATAGAATCAGGTTAAAGTTCAACAGATAAGGCAAGCAATCCTACCCTGCTCATTTTAAAAACAAAATGTTACGATTAAATTCTATAATGTTTAAGCCACAGTTATAATTCAATTACAATACAAACTTTTGCTTCCGGAGACAGAGCCCTCTAGTAGTAAAGAGTGCTTAATGTTCGTTCTTAATAGCCAAAAGTTTGAAATGAAATTAAATATCAAACTGTGATATAAAAGTCTAAATAATACAATACAGAACTTTTTTAAATTTACTAAGAACCTTATTTTATAAACTCAGAATCTTTTCTCTAAAAGTTATTTTTCTCTCCACTTTCTGATCTCTCTCTCTTAGTTCCTGTCGTTCCTAGTGGAACATAGGGTTACAACAACACTTCGCCCACGGAAGTGTTGTTGCAGTTTCTGTAGCAGGTTGGTCTTTACGGGGTGGAGTTGCTAGACTTTCTCATCCTGGACTTGGGACCAGGCAATGGTGATGGCATCCCTGCCGGAGAACGAACCCGGTACCTTTGGATTAGAAATCCAACGCGCTATCCACTGCACTATAGGGACACGCCACTTTCTTATACGTGCCTATAATCCAAAACTTTACAATTTTCTGGTTTATCTCTCTAACTAAAATCGTTTTTGATATCTCAAACATTATAAACTTTAAACTTTTCGATATTTTGTTTTTAGGTATGTCTTGGTGCATGCTTTACAAGGTTAATCAGGATTTGTAACATGCTAGAAATGATCAGCATGAGGGAAGAGACAGCATGGAGGGATGATACAAAACCACAAAAATCTTGAAATTATTCTTGAAAGTGAATCGTTTTCTTTTATCTAAGATTCATTAAATATTTCATTATACTAATATTTCACCATTGATACGTTGAAATTTCCTTCCACTTCCAAATCCGGACAAGGTCCTGATTTTAAACTCTGACAGCAGACACAGCCAACGAAGGACGCCAACGCAGAAAGTACCAATGACCAAATCATATTGCAGAAATAAATTGTTTGAGACTAGAAGTTATCAGTGTCATAAATTTATGTGTTGCGTCGACCCCTGGTGGCACTATCTCCTGGATAAAAGTAGATTTCCGTGACAGACAAATAATAATATTGTCAAGTCAAAATAAATAACTTGTTGACTGATCCTATCCACATTGATATCTCAAGCACCTGTATTTGTTCAAACACGGGTTGTATACTATTATTATATAACTGTTTCAATAACTTTTTTCGTGATGACTCGTGCATTTTGAATATACTTGTATTCTAGCATGCTCTGTTGTAATCTTCAGTCTACCTTCCAATAATGGGCTAGCTCTGTTGTAATCTTCAGTCTTCCTTCCATTAATGGGCTACGTTGAAGTTCACCAATTTCTAAAATCCAAGATACGATAAAATGTAAAATTTTGTTGGTATTAAAATATCAAAAAGTTAGCTAAAAATAATTATTAGTTCGTGAGTTATAATTAACATAAAGTTATATCACATTCCATACCATTTGCAAAAGTTCCAGTAACACAAATATATATGTATTAAACACGTTAAGGTAACAAAGATGATAGTGTATGTCAAGTGCTACTAGGTACTGGAGTTGCTGGTGTGTGTCACATGTTACTAGCTACTGAACTAGATGGTGTGTGTCACATGTTACTAGCTACTGGAGTTGATGGTGTGTGTCACATATTACTAGCTACTGGAGTTGCTGGTGTTTGTCACATGTTACTAGCTAGAGGACTTGATGCTGTGTGTCACATGTCATTAGCTACTGCACTTGATGCTGTGCGTCACATAGTACTGCTTAATTGGGCTTCAGGGTGCGTCTCACGTGTTACTAGCCAGTTGACTTGATGGTGTGTATTACATGTTACTAGCTGTTGGACTTGATGGTGTGTATCACATGTTACTAGCTAGTGGACTTGATGGTGTGTGTCACATGTTACTAGCTACTGGAGTCGCTGGTGTTTGTCACATGTTACTAGCTAGTGGACTTGATGGTGTGTCACATGTTACTAGCTACTAGACTTAATGCTGTGTGTCACATGTTACTAGCTACTGGAGTTGGTGGTGTGTGTCACACATTACTAGCTACTGCACTTGATGCTATGTGTCATATATCACTAGCTACTGCACTTGATGTTGTGTGTCACATAGTACTAGCTACTGGAATTGATGCTGTGTGTAACATGTTACTGCTTGATTGGGCTTCAGAGTGCGTCTCACGTTGGACGGGATGCTGTGTGTCACGCGTCACTAGCTACTGGACTTAGTGGTCTGTGTCACTGTTACTACTAATTTGGACTTGACGCTGTGTGCCACTTGCTAGTACTTAATTGGACTTGATGATGTGTGTCACGAGTTGTTAGCTAGTTGACTTGATGGTGCGTGTAACATATTACTAACTAGTAAACTTGATGGTGCGTGTAACATGTTACCATCTAGTGCACTTGATGGTGTTTGTGACATATTACCAGTTAGTGGACTTGATGGTGCGTATAACATTTTACTAACTAGTGGACTTGATGGTGCGTGTAACATATTACTAATAGTGGACTTGATGGTGCGTGTAACATATTACTAACTAGTGGACTTGATGGTGCGTGTAGCATATTAATAGCTAGTGGACTTGATGGCGCGTGTAACATATTACTAGCTAGCGGACTTGATGGTGCGTGTAACATATTACTAACTAGTGGACTTGATGGTGCGTGTAACATGTTACTAACTAGTGGACTTGATGGTGGGTATAACATATTACTACCTAGTGGAATTGTTGGTGTTTGTAACATATTGCCAGTTAGTGGACTTGATGATGTGTGTCACGTGTTGTTAGCTAGTTGACTTGATGGTGCGTGTAACATATTACTAACTAGTGGACTTGATGGTGCGTGTAACATGTTACTAACTAGTGGACTTGATGGTGGGTATAACATATTACTAATAGTGGACTTGATGGTGCGTGTAACATATTACTAACTAGTGGACTTGATGGTGCGTGTAACATATTACTAGCTAGCGGACTTGATGGCGCGTGTAACATATTACTAACTAGTGGACTTGATGGTGGGTATAACATATTACTAACTAGTGGACTTGATGGTGCGTGTAACATGTTACTAACTAGTGGACTTGATGGTGGGTATAACATATTACTAACTAGTGGACTTGATGGTGCGTGTAACATGTTACTAACTAGTGGACTTGATGGTGGGTATAACATATTACTAACTAG